AAAAAAATACCAAGATATGAAAGAGCACAGCTAGTTTTTATATTGAGCTATAAAACCTGGTCCCACTCATCTTCTAGTCCAGGAAAATATTTTCATTTACAAACACGGAAAAATGAGATAAACTCATTGCATTCACCAACAGGCACACCTAGACAATATCAAACATATACACTGGAGGCCCTCCAAAATTATCAAAAGCAGAAGATTAATAAAAAACAAAAATGTGCTTCCACATGTGTGCCATCTTTCTCCATTTCTATCCTGCAAGCCTCCTCCTCTCCCAAAAACCCAACCAGCAAAATTTAGAAGGCCATTATGAATAGTGTTGGTGAATACAGGCAATATTCAAAAGACATTTTGTCTGATATTGCAGTCTCTTATTTTTTTAATATTATTTTGCATATATTTGGTGTTTTTTGTGACCAGACAGTACAAAGTTCAGCTACCTGTATATCAAGTTGTGATACTTTCTCTTTGCTTTCATTTAGCTGGCTATTTAGTTCAGTAATGTTTGATTCCAGTGAGAGCACTCGATCTTGAGCAGCTCTTAGCTGTGCCTTTTGCTCCTGCACTTGCTCATGCAAATTCTCCTGGGCTTGTTTGTGACTTTCTGACTGATTCTTCAACTTCTCTGTCAGCTGAGTTACCTGCAGATAAATATTAAAAAAAAAGGTGATAATTAAAAGAGAAGATAGGAACTTGATATCCAGACAAGTCATATATCTTTCCAATTTTAGAGTGTCTTATCATAGCTTTGGAATCCTGACACTGCTCAACTCTTACATTTTTCTTTCTGACAATATCACAGTAAACCTTTGCTTTGCCCAACACCAAAGCTTAAATATGTTACCAGTTCACAATGAAAGCAAAAGGGATTGAACAATTTGGCTCTGCTGTAACAAAACCAAGGTATTAAAGAGGCATCAGATGTAGGCTGAACTGAAATTTGGTGTATCATATGAACATATCACAGGAAATATCTAGGATTTTTTTTTCTTTTCGCTGATAGCAAGTAAGTCATCAAAACACAAATCCTGTGAAATTTACAGCAAGATACTTTAAGTAGTATCAAAGAAACAGAAAAGTACAGAAAAGATTAATGCCATATCTAATTAGACACAAGTTAAGGAAATAAGATGCAACAATGACAATAAGAGAAAGGAAGCTGGTCCCAGTTCTTACCTGTATTTGTAATGCATGATTTTTCTCCTGTAGCTGGTTAAGAACTGCAGTTTCTCCTTCACCAGCTTGAATTTTTGCATATAAGTCCTCTCTTTCCTTTTCTAGTAAGGAGATGTTTTCCTTGCTCTTTTGAAGCAAGGCCTCAAGATTTTGTATTTTTTGGTCCTTATCTCCGATTTGTCGTAGTACTTGCTCCAAATCATTCTAGAAAATCGCATAATAGCTTCCTTAATTATATGGACCTTAGAAGTTATTCCTAATGCATAAAATGTTGGATAAATTTATTAAACACAGTATATTCTGTTCTAGATTTATTTATCAATTTATTGAAACTACTATATCATGCAAGTCACTTCTACCAAGCAATGCACCAAAAATCGTGAGTTGCTGAAGCACACATTTACACAAGAATACATAATCGCTAAGTTACCTGGGCTTCTCGTAGCTTTGCTGTAGTGTTTTGCTGATGTGTCTGCTGTTCCTGGTGCTGCTGTTTCGCTTTATCTAGCTGATGCTGTAATTCAGTAGAATTTGCCAC